TCATGGCGACAGGCGGATATATGCGAATTTTTATTGTTTTCAAAAGTACAATTTTTTACCCGAATCACTTCCATAGCTTTAGCTATATTTCTTTCCAGCTTAATGTAGTTAAAGATATAGAAAAACGCAGTGCCATGAGTGACATCCGTCAGAACAAATTTTTAAAGTATAAAAATAAGTTTTTCCAAAGAGAACCAAATGTGAACTGTACACCGCTGTAAAGGATTCACCGGTTATTTATATTCATTTTCTCGCAAAACTTGATTCCGCCAAAGTAACTAAAGTAAACTTTCGCTTTTTCAGTCGCATATTTGACACAGTATAGAAAGTTTTGCATACCAAATTTTGACTAATTAATGTAAAGACATGTTTTGTTTATAATATTGTTTAAACAAATTCTTGAAAAATGCTATTTTAACCACATTTTGATTTAAATCCATTCGAGATTCCATTCAACAGAACTCTGTTAATAGCTTAATAGTCGTCGATAAAATTTTGTTGGTTCGCGTCTTTGCTAATTAAATTTAATATAACTGCAACTCCTTTTTCCACCATTTATTGTTTGCGGAAGCAACGCTTTCATTGTTAAGACGATGCCCAAGACATGTCAGCGAGTATCTAGACCTTACTTTTTATACTCACGACTATAAGATAAATATTTATTTTTTCATTTTGTATTTTTCCGCAATATATACATATAACGCCCGAAGGAAGCGTTATATTGATCTGCGTGAAATCCTGAGTTAATATATCCATGTCCGTCCGTCTCTGTGATGTGTGTTGTTGGCACTCTCCTGGTCGCAAAAATGAAGATATCGGCATCAAATTTAATAGAAACATTTGAAGTTTCTGCAGGCAGGTTGATAATGAAAATGGGACAAATTAGTCGGAGCAGAAGCGCGCAATGGACCGTAAACTGAACGCACCTCAGTTTTTTTTTTTTTTAAACTTTTGGGTTTTTGCTCGTTACTTGCAACCTGTTAAACTTAGAATTCTACTATTATCCATATTTACTTTACAAAGAAAGCGCTCTACTCCTTGCGTGTAAAATCGGGAAACATCCACCATGCCCACACTAAATTACAAGTGATTAAATTCTGTTTTTTTCACTTTGTTGCGGTTTCACGCTTACTTATCGTAAGGCAATCAAGGCCGAATCTTTGAAAGTATTTTGTACGCTCCTTAACTGCAGATATATTATCGGCCTAAAAATAAGTTAATTCCAAAACGATATGATAGAGACCGCGATTAATTGTTTCTTAATAACAACAGCGATATGGGTATCAAATAGAAGAACTTTGAGAGCAGAATGCGAAAAACATAGTGAGTGGGTGTGCGAGATTCTGCCCCCGTCGAATATAGCTTTCTTACTTGTTTCGATATCAAAGATACAACCACAGCTGAACATAATGTTCTTTCTTTTTTCATTTGAAAAGTAAATAAGTTAAAGGCTTTCTATCATTATTAAATTAAAATTCTTTTCTTGTTGTTTTCGGGATTAACCAACGAGTTGTAATTAGCAAAAACATATGAACAACGTGACGGATTATTAGCCGGGTATGTACATTAAAACCGATTGAAAAGATATCTTGACCGAAATATTGCAACTGGGGACCTATATGAAATTAGTAAGCCCTACTCGTATTGAAGACAAGAGCGAAATGTTAGGAAAAAAAAGAGTACGAAAGTTACATTCGGCTGGGCCTGAATCTCGCGTGGCCAATACTCTTAAAGTCTTTGACATCCCATGCTTTTGTTTTATTGTCATAGATAAGTGAATGAGATAAAATTTATTTTTGACTTTTTACATCACTAAAAGGTATTGTTAACAGAATAATTAATCTACCACAATTCTACTCTCCAAGCCTTTTTATTTGATACCCATATGAACGATATTATTAAGGAAAAATGAATCCACCACATCGTGGTGAACAACATATTTATGCGTTAGATTTAACGCATTTTTGGGCAGATAATCTTCATTCGAGAAATGTACAAAATTATTTTAAGCGTTCCGTCTTCTCTACCTTATAATTAATAAGCATAAAATCTCAAAACAAAGTGAAAAAAAGAAAATTTAATCATATGGAACTTTGCGTGGACATAGCTATATTTTTCCATTTTTTCACGTGAAGAGAAGAGTCTCTCGTAAAGAAAATGTGAAAAGTTTCAGTCTTCCATTGTTTATAATTTGTGAGCAATCAGCGAAAAGTCGTAAATTTTAGTTTAGTAAAATAGAGTTGAATCCAGTTTACACTGCACTGCGCGCTTCCGGTCCGACCCATTTGGGCCATTTCCAATCCCAACCTGCACGCAAAAACTTTCCAAATTTCAAGTCGATATCTTCATTTGTACGACCAGGAGAGTGTCCACAACACTCGTCAGGCAGACACACAAACGGACAGACATTACTTAATCACAATTCATAATTTCATGTTGATCAAGACTACTATATATAGCCTTTCGAGGGTCTCTGAAGTTTCCTTTTAAGTTTTGCAAGCGTTATGATGAGATAAGTACACCCCCATCCTTGCTACGTGGTTGATATAAAGGGAAAAAAGTGTTTTATTATATAAATGTAAGAAACTTTAATTAAAATTCTTTTGTTTTTCTATTTCAAGTCTTTTTCATTTGTGTAGATGCTAATGATAGGATTTTTTTTTTTCGTTATAATCACTCTTTTTTTTTTTCCAATTATTTCACACAGGCCAGTCAGGCTACCTGTTGCAGACATAAAACCAAAGCCCATTTTTTTTTTATAGTATTTATGTATAGCTAGCTAATCACCCCACCTACTTCTATGTTTGATACAAAAAAAAAAAAATTATTATACGTGAAATTGACAACAACCACAACACAGCTATTGTTGCTTGCGGTGACTTTCATTTATGTGGTTTGTACAGTAGGAGCGAAACTGGCTGTTAACTTTGTGATACAACAACAATCCACTTCATTATACTCCATTTGTCGGACAGATGATTATCAGTTGCAACTAAATATTTATCATGAATGTATATCATTGAAGGATGATGGTAATGATTACGTTTATGCTGCCAATTTATAAGAGACAACCTCATAAAACTGTGAAAGTCATTTCCATAACGATAAGTTTTAAAAGGAGCGTAACAACTCTCAAATTAATTTCCTATCTACTATCGGACAGTATCGATGCAAACCCAAACTCTGCACCAGCTGTACCGATACTAAATGCAACAACAACAAATTTGAGTTTTATGTCAATGGTGGAGCACAATATAGAAAATTATGAAAAAACAATAAAGAGATGAAAGTAACTTGAAGTTAATTTTGTGCGAGCAGAAGCTCACTCTCGACATATACACTATTGATCGAATTTTTCGACACCTGTTCTCTGTCGATTGTTGTGTTCATAACGAGACAGACAGTTAATTAACTACCACATATTCAGCATTTTAAATATATACTTATAAAATTTACGTATGCAATGTTGTACTCTGTTAACTGAGCGAGGGGAAATTATATTCACATGTCGGAACCAAAACAAGAAATTTATCTCTTCGGTTTCAACGTGAGTTTTTTTATTTTATAAGTGGCGAACAAAAAAAATGCAATTTTCTTACTTTTGAAAATTGAGACTTTCTTAGTGTGTGTGATCGTACCCTTTGTCCGACCAGAGTTATTTTGAATACCGACATTAGTGCAAGAAGTTCCAATGTTTTTCACAAATTTGAAGCCAATACCTGAATTTCTGCGACGGAAAAGTGCTTACCACATATATGTACTCAATTGGACGGACGGACGGATGGACATACGTGGCTAGATCAATTCAGAATTTAACATTGATCAAACTATTTGACAAAATGAATATCCTTCCGTATTTCAAGGGAAGGATACGGCCTATAAAAGGCCGCATCATAGTCACACAGGTAAATTTGTTTGTAAGAACAATCACAAACAATTAGAAATTATTTGATTGCCTATTAATCTCCGTCTAATGTCCCAGGAGAAATGTTGTCCCAACGTTGTCGCAAAAATAGTGATGTCGGGTTTGGCTAAAGACAATTCGAAAGTTCTGGCACGAAGGCGGTAAAGTACAGCATGGGCTAAGAACAGTTATCTCGCTTTCCTCAATGCTCAGAAACCGCAAACCAATACTACGACAAAAGAAAATTTCCAAATGTGTTTTACATATTTGATGGAAAAAAGCAGGCATGCCCATTATGGCAAATTTAAAGTTTTTCCTTGGAGTAAAAGCGATCAGTACAGATAGTTTGGCCAGAGCCGAGCATATTTCAGCCGATTCCGTTTTACACTTTGCCTGACTGGGATTAATTGCGGGCGCAAGAACCTCTTCGCATAAAACAGCTGAGTTTTAAATTTTTTCTTTGTACCTTCGCCAGAGCAAGTCTAAGAAATAAGAAAATCAAGTCGACTTCAGAGGAAGTATTTGCTATCAACCATTCCGGTTCGATGCAAAGTATTTCATTAATTGTAGACAGGGCCAACTGGCCGATTAAAATTGTTTCTAAGTCGTTCGATAGATGACGCTGAGAAGCTTTAACTCCAATAATAGAGACTAAGTTCAAATTTCTGGATTTCTTGGATCTACTTTTATAACGTAGCTTGAAGTTCACTCTGATAGGAATACAGAACCTAGTAAATCTCAGCATTAACTTTGCGGACATTAGTGCTTCCAAGACTAAAGGAATAGACGAGTATACGTGCTAACCAAGCTCTGCTGTTCAAGAACATATATGTATATCTTGACAAGTTTCTAACCCATGCTTCTAGGTATAAAAAACAAAAAGGACAACTTTAATCTTATATAGTGTCACATATCGGTGGAGATGGGTATGGCCGTAAGAATTCTTATGACGCCTTACGGACGTCTTCACGATGGCTATGCTTGAATTGAAGTCAGAGCAATTGTTTGCTTCAATCGAAACGAGCATGCCATGGGCAGCTAAACATTGAGTCCCGTTTCCCGTTTCTAATGCTTTTGCATTACTTCTGTTTTTCAGATGAAAACACCTGCGATACAAAATGATTTTAGCTACTATAGACGTATAGTGAGTCGACAGCGCATCGACTCAACAAACAATATGCTGGTCAGCACAGAGCTGGCAAATCGTATGTCGCTGTTTTATGCTCATGCAACACCAATGTTAAAAGTTTTAAGTGAAGCTACCTCCAAATTTGTGCACGATAATGCTGATGATGTTGAAAATACAACAGAAACTCTGGGCACTATGGCTAAAGTGTGTCTAAGAATGTTGGAAAATCCGTGAGTATAAAATTTCTAATAATAATAAAAACAGTGTAATGGGTCCCTCCCTCCTAACCTATCAAAATAATGTCAAATAAGATGCATTTCTTCTCTTTTCCCTTCATTTTTTTTTCTTTTCGGTAATGATAATCATTAGTTTGATTATCGCAATCTTTTATCTTATATTATGTTTTATTTGGTTTTCCGTAGTAAATTATTGCAACAAATTGAACGTGAAGAAACCCACCTATTAGTACTAAGAGTTATGGTCGGTCTTGTTATACTCTATGATCATGTGCATCCTGTTGGGGCTTTCGCTCGCGGAGCACACGTCGATGTTAAAGGATGCGTACGTCTATTGCAAGCTCAGCCTGCCATTAAAGCGGAACCACTACTGAATGCATTACGCTATACAACGAAGCATTTGAATGAGGAGAATACGCCTAAGAATATACGAAACCTATTGGCAGCATAATATCTGGCATATACCAAATGGAAAAGAGATGAACAAGTAATGATGAAAAGGATGCATGTGGATAATTCTCTGTGGATATAGCGGCCACTTAGTAAAGCAAAAATATTTCATTTTTTATTTTCCAATTTAACGTAAATCCAAGTACCGCCAGCAAATGTGTATTTCGTTTCACTTAAGAGTTTTTTTTTTTCATTTTCCTCTCTTTAGGAGATTGATTAACTTTTTTAAAATGCAAAGATTTTTCTTTTTGTCTCTGCTTGGAATGAAAAATTATGTATAAAACCTTTAATTATTCACGATAATATATTTATAAGATTTCGTTTGTGTGCTTTTATGTATGTGATGAGTACGTTTTTTTCTTCTTTACAGATGTTAATAATTAATTAATGAATTTTGTTTCTTTTTTTTTTTTTTTTTTTTTTTTTTTTTGCAAATATTGTGAATTAAAATATACCGCATCTGAATTTTATATAAAAAACAAAAAAAAAAAATCCCATTTCCCTTATAGCCCTAACACGTTGACGCTCACTTGAAATTCGGTGAGTGCTTGCAAAAGCATCCTTCTTTTTGTTTTTGTTCTTTTAATATTAAAAATATATATAGGATTGCTATAGACGTCCATCGCGTGTGCGTACATTGTAGATATATCGAAGGCGCATAAAATTTTTCAAATATTTACAACGCATATTAGCATAAAATTCTAGATTCATTCGATTCGATTCAATATCTCAACTTCGCTCTCGTCTGGGGAAGTAACAATTAAAAGTTTAGTGCATTAAAAAAACCAACATTTACACTTAGCACAAAATTATATAACAAAAAAAATTTGGCAAAGTGGCTTCCATACAACGATAACTACAAAGCCAGATAGATATCCATATTGCTTTTAAGGGTTTCAAAAGTATAACCTTCATCGTGAATTCTCGGACGAACATGATGATTATTTGGTGCGATACTTTCCCGGTGCTTTTTCATAGTTTATAGGTTTTTCAAAATTCATTTGACGAATATATGAACGGGGCCGTTACAACTAATAATCCCAATTTTAGCGATTTTAAGTTTTCATTAGCAACGAGAGAAAAAAAATTCGACCTAGAGGGTCTTGCGACATTTGTTTAAAATGTATCTTCAGATTTTATAAGGTGAATAACAAAATCATTATATATATATATATATAAAACTATTTTCCCCTTACTAGCTTATACTCTCCTATAATAACTAGAAAATCCAAATACTTATAAAAAAAATATGTTATACTAACTCTGAGAAGGATATTCCATTGGTCATAAAGTAGGTGCTAGCGTTAATTTTGGTCATTTTTTTCACTTGAAAAAAGCATTTATTGCGACAAATTGGTACAATATAAAATGAATTAATGAAAATATTTTCCATCATTTTCTACATTTTACCATATTTTTGACGACATGACGATATCGTGTCTTAAGACTTATATAGGCTTGGCAGCGATGCAATGCTCGATTCATTATCATGCTCCACCGATCTGAACAAGTGGTATTCAGAAGACCTCATGTTTGGTGAGTACGCTGTGTATGGCAGAACTTCCTATCCGAGCTGTAACGGTTTATCCTTGGCAACAAGTTGCAACAAGTAACCAGAAAATGACATTTTTAGTCAATTCGTGTCACCGCTTTTGGACGGTTGCAAGCAAAACCGACAATTGGTATCGATACGATGGAGCGGCATCACCATAAGCTTCTGAATGCGTTTGGTGCGCTTCGGCTGCAGATTTGCACGACTGTTACTTTATGCAGAGAAAGGTCAAAAACATCGAATTTAACCGTTATACACACTAGTATTTCTCATTACATTATCATTTTTATTTATAAAAATCGCTGATTAAAATTAACGCAAGCACCTAATATTTATAAAGTGTAGGAGATATATGAGATGTATGAGATATATTCTTAAGCCGCATAATCAGCGAATTAAATGAAGCAGTGTCACAACACACACACTCCTCAAGATTTAACTCGTCTTGGAATTGTGTCATGTATTTCCCTGCATTTAGCCAAAATTTGAAAATTAACTGGGGTAACCAAGTTATCATTGTATGCAAAAATTACATATCAAGTATGCCTTACTAACTAATGGCTATATTGCGCTCCAAGTAAATAACATTCTACCTAAGTAGCCATAGGATTACTTAAAGATGATGAAATGATTTCTTATGAAAATATATACCAAATAAGTAGGGTTGATTTAGGTAAAGGGACATTTGGAGCTACATTATAGAGGCAAAATCAACAAGCAAAAAATTATGAAATTTATAAAACACCTCGAATACTACAGCTAAAAGCAGCAAAATTTTTATCTTAAGAATTACGTTTAACAAGTTTTCATAGTCTTATATCGGACGATATTGAGCGAAATTTTATTATCATAAGCCCTATTCGAGAGCGATGAATTACACCATATCAGTTAAAGTGTAGGTACAGACATTTTTACTCTTTTAATCACACGTGGAGTGTCCCCTACACGCCAATAGACAGGGTGATGGTTAGGATAAAAGGAGTTGGGAAAGTGAGATAAGGTGCTTTAGCCCGAAGTGAGCAATGTTATGCCTTCACCAATTGATAATTTACTATACCATCTAATGTATAGGCATAAATGGATATAAAGAGGAGTTTACTGAGTTCAGAAATTTGTTCAGTTAGGTAATGAATTCATTTGTAATAAATGAGAAAAATTATTAAATAGAAAATTGGATTTAACAGCTATTTGATTCCAGGGAAAACAAGAATCTTTCATGAAGACCTATCGGTGCCTTAAGACCAATTCAAAATCGTTGCCCGATAAATGGTAAAATTTGTTCTCAAATTCCATAATATTCAAAAAAGTATTCATTATTGTCTAGCAATCGCTTTACGGAAATCGTGAATTTATCCGAATTATCTATGACTCGAGTAGATAGGATTTGTTTTTATATAACTATTTTCCTATAAAAATAGCTTATCATTAACAGACACAGTTAATAAGTCTTATTTGTATGTGATGCTTGAAAATATGCGCAAGGACATCTAGATGGATAAGTTGTTAGTCAGCGTGGAATGACCTTGATACCCCTGTCTGCCTGCAGATTTCTCTTTTAAGAAGACAATTGCGATCTCCAATATTTTTCTACAAGAACAAAGATTATCTCAAAATATTTGCGATCATCAAATATGATCATTACTTGGCGATCAGGTTAGCTAAGATCATTACTTTGATTGCAATGACCAAGAAATTTACCGTCTTTCTAAAATGCTGGTTCCACAATTTAGTTTAGAGTTACTTCTCACCTTCGAGAAATATTGTTTAAAATACATATGATATATACAACCGGTACTAAGCGAATCTCTTTTCGCTTTGTTTTGCCGATAAATATCGTATAGAAGTGAGTGAGTGAATGATGCTTTAGAAGTTGAAAACTGATTTATCTGATGCCTACGTCACAACACTTATAGTAATGCATACATTTTATTTTATTTTTTTTTCATCTCGACTTTGTTCTTTCCTAGATACTTATTTTTGTATTGTACTCAATGCTGGTGTTATATTACAGCAAATGCATTTAATTTTCCAAATAAAATTTAATTAAAGTGGATGATTATAACGTAGCTGATACTTATGAGTCCATATCTCCGATTTTAAGTATATTTTATTGTATTGAAATTTTTACAAACGAAACATTTTGACTAAGAACAAATAATAATATAATCGTCATATTAAAGCCATTTATAAGAAGCAAAAAAAAAATAAATAAATATATCACAAAAATATCGGCTCACATCAGCATTAGTTAATATTAAATAAAAATAAAAATAAAGACGAAAACAAAGAAAACTAATTAATATTAAACGCAATTATAACATTAATTTAAAATTAAGCATATTTAACTAGCGAAAAATATAAGTATAAAAGAAAAATTAATAATAATGAAATATATATTTCAAAAATATCATAATTAAAATAAAAAATAAAATTTAATAACCAATTCTAGCCCAAAATCTAAAATTTTAAACATAATCAATTAAAAGATAATTTGAAAAAGAAAGAGAAGAAAATAACGAGATTATCTATAAAAAGAAGAAGCATATTATTATCAATTAATAAAGAATCATTAACCTACATACCTATATTTATAAATAAAATAACTACTCCTTTACGAGAATTGTATAAAAATATCTGGATTTTTATTTTCTTACAACCACTTATCCTAATCTTTTTTCATGTCATTGAAATCACTGTTGTTAACCTATGTGTATTTAAATTTGTACTCAAATTCTATATATATATATATATATACTTTAAATATGTCTGCCCAGGGATTTTGATAAGTTTTAAAAAATTCCGTAATACATCATCTATCACATAATTTTTTGATAATCGTATCAGTGTTTTGAAGTAGTCAATACAAAGGGATTACAGTGATATCTATGTCTGAATACGGACACTAAGGCATCATGACAAAATTAATTGTATATAACACACCTCGACTTGCCCGAAAAGCTGTCCAAGTTCTAGAATAATTGGACTTTTTTCTTTACCTCTCTGCACATCCTTTTACATATGATGGGGAAGTAAGCCGCGACATAATAGAGATGAAGGAATCATAATATAAATTACGTTGGTTTTTGATCGATATTCAACACGCACTGGGCATGACCTCCTTATCACTTTCTATATCTTCATTTCTATCTTACCATGGGCTTGTTAGACGAATAGAGTATATATATATCCCCTGAGAGTAAAAAGAGAACTGCCAACAAAATTTTCTTCTCACAATTGTCTATGAAAAATTGAACTTGTGCGCCAACATCAAAAATCTTCTTTCTAAGGGATATGCAATGATGGGTGCACAAGCGTTTTCTCTAGTCTTTTGACTTTGTTATGTTAACTAACTATTCTAACTAGAATATGGGCGGTCGCCGTCTACAAAACTTCTTCAATAGCGTTTTTGGAAGCATTTGGGAACGTTTGTTCAATGCTTAGACGGATCACAAAAACCGAAAATAACCTTTCGAAGGTAGTATTTAACTTTATCTTATTCACTTATTTTTTTACGCAAAATTCACAAGCCAAAAATCGGAGAGCATACTAACGCAGTGGTAAATCCTGTCTCCTTTCCTAACAATGAGGATTATGCATCAAATTTTATTATACCTTAGAGACAAAAATTTATGAACATAGTAATAAAAAAGTGATGACAATTGGTCGATGGAATTTTAAAAATTCCACAATTTTTTAACCAACTCTCGTATTAATAATTTTACTAACAAACAATTTTTTTTTTTTTTTTTTTACTTTGTTCTTGTCTACATTTAGCATAAATTTTCATTTTTAATTTCCTTTAAATATGTTTCTTTGATATTTACAATTTAAATAATAATATAATCAAAAATGTTATATATGACCATTTTTGCGATAAATATATGAAATTTTAATTACCAAAAAAAAAAAAAAAAAAAAAAAAATGGAAAAAGAAAATGGCATTTAATAAAAAATTTAAACGCAAATACGTAAAATATTTGCTACTTAATACAAAATTTTATACGATAAAGAAAAAATTAATATAAATAAGGGAAATTTTTGAAGAAAAAATATTTGTACCAAAAATATGAAGCAAAAATGAGAAATATTTATACAAGAAAACACAATTGACAAGAGAGTTATTAAAAAATAAAGTAAATTCTTTAGAAGTAAAAACATAGTCAAGTTTTCTTGGTTTATGTCAAAAATGATGTAAAAAGTTCTAAATTCTCGTCTTTAAATCATTATTCATGTTTTAATTGAATAAGTACAACAATTATAGCCGATTTTATTTTGGTAGACGGACAGGAAGGGAGAATTAAGCAAAATGTTTTTGCTTTGCCTTCTAAAGGCACTATAGCTGTTTGGAGAATGCAGCGCAATTGTCAATGCGTATTTAGTTCCCTTAACGTGTCATAACTTTCACGTTTTCGTGAAAAAGCAAATCATTCCCTATATCCCAAAGCGATTTGGTGTTCAGTATTGCTCAACTCATCAACAAGTTGTTTATTATCTGAACGAATCTTGGCGTGGCATTTTGTCATTGTATATTCAAGTTGAATTTAACCGATATAATTTTTCTCCTACAATATATCTATATTATTAATTTAGCCAGAGAAATAAATTCTAAGACCAAAGCCTTAGCCAATAGCATGTAAGGCGATCCGCTTTATTGAAACCTCTACCGCACTGGAATTTGAATCCAAGACTATTGAGTTGTCAGTCGAAATCTTTAGGTCACTTCAGCATTTTCAATTCATTTTCAAGAAAAGAATTATATTTTCTACTTATTACAAATTTTTAATTGTCACACAAAATAAATCATACACTAATTTATAATGAAGCAAAGTGATTATTATATCTACAAGTATATGAATAGTTATGAATTTACTATATTTTAAGTTTTCATTTTTCTTAACTTCAAAAAGCTTTACAACTTATGATCATTCCTCCAAAGATATTTAGTTATTGTTCGGTCTTGGTTTCAATATTAGCTTCCCCGTATCATCGCAGCTCATGTTAAAATCATTTAGTACAACGCGCATACGTGAAGTAACGATTTGTGGAGCAATGACAAGTTTGTGAATGCCGAAAATAAATAAAATAACTAGAAAAAAAGGGAAACAAAATCAACGTTAAGTATAAGCTAATCTATGTAAGTGTACATAGTCAGCAATAATTATCTTTTTTACTTACCTAACGTTAACGTAGCAAATGTAAAAACTGGATGTATAAGCAGGGATTCGGTTAGCGGGACAACTGATGTACGCGGATCTCTTAACCAATACCAGGCACTAATAGCTGTACACAATGATATAACAGTCAAGACAACTGAAAAATGCAATTAAAATTTCTTGGATTTTCTTCATATAAGATTATTTATTTAACATACTTCTCCAACGCACTGTTGAAGGTTTGTAGGAGGACACCACTTCTGTGAGTCGTCTTTCGAAAGCCTTCAGATCTATTAAGGCAGTGATTTAAAATATTAATACACAATGAGAATTTACAAACATACCCTCACAGGCGGATTGTTCCATGTTAAACTCTTCAGTTTTCTATTTGGCCTACTCAATTGTTCTTATTTGTACTTAATCTTAGGCATTTGTTTTTCTTTTATTTTCTCTTTATTGTTGATATATGATATGAAATACTAGTTGGACATTAAATTCACAAAAAAATACATTTATATTCTATATACTATACTGTTTTCCTTATATTATTTTGTTATAATTCAGCATAGAAGTGTTGCCAAATGCAAAAAATTTACACTGCCTATAGCGATTGAGCTAGATTACTTTTGCTTGCACTGTAAGAATTTCATAAAGTAATTCGAATATAAAGCTCTGCAAAGCAAGTAAACCAACATAATTGACAACAAAGCCAAAGAAGGACCGGAATATCATGCGCACATATCCATTCAATACCACGCTCGTTCAAAAGTGAAAATAGGGAAATCAATATAAATGCAAATAACCAACATTCGGTTTAGGATGTAAAAATAAAGAAACCGTCAAAAATGTAAACAACCAGCAAGAAAATTACAGATTATACAAAGGGTTACTTAATTATAATAGAAGATATTGGGTAAGACAGTTTTATCACATTCCTAATGTTAATGGTCTTTTTTTTTAATTTGAATTTGTATAATTTAAAGAAAAGTATATTTTTAAATTTTTTAAAATAATTTTTATATGTGAAATAAATCTTTTTTATTTTTTCACCTACCTTTTTTAAGTTTTTGGATTATTTGTTTTCTTACACATAAAAATTGTTGTTTACATCAATGGTTCCGAACATATTTTCATTGAGATGCGACGTTGCCATTTCTTTGTATTTTCCCCCAAAGTCATTTCAAGCTTAGCAGTTAAGCAGAATCCTTTGTGAACAGGCTTCTCCATGCATTTGGCAACTATTTCAGTCATTTCTACGCTTTCATGCAAGATTAAAGTCTGTGAACATAACTTAGAAACAAATTTGTGCTTAAATGAATATCTAGTTGAAAATGTCGAATGCTAAAGTTCCATTGGAATGGAAGAGGCGTGTTAAAAAAGAATACATAAAGATACGTCAACAAAAACGTTACAAAAGGGCCGATGAAATAAAAGAGGCATGGATCAAAAATTGGTAAGTTTTTCCAAGCAAATCGTTTAGAAAATTTCCTATTAAAAATTTTCCGAAGGGATGAACATAATTACAATGTTCAAGATTTGTATTGCGAGCCCAAGATTTGGCAGGCTCAACCTTATGAGCCACCACACGTTGATTGTGTAAAGCGTGCCGAAGTGATCATGTTTAATGGTATTAGTAATCAGCAAATACCGATTTGTATAATTAATGCTGTCACACCAATACCGACAATGTACACTTGGGCTCCCACTCAACAAAATTTCATGGTTGAGGATGAAACTGTTTTACATAATATTCCTTATATGGGTGACGAGGTTTTAGACAAAGATGGAAAGTTTATTGAAGAATTGATCAAAAACTATGACGGGAAAGTTCATGGTGATAAAGATCCTTCATTTATGGATGATAGCATATTTGTTGAATTGGTGCATGCCTTAATGCGTAATTATGCAAAAGAGATAGAAGAGCTGACAGGCATTACCATAAAAGTGGCTGATCTGTTTAAAGATGATATAATTAAGGAAAAGACTGATGACAAAGTCAAAAAGCATGAGGATGTAAAGTCTAAAGAAGAAGAGAAAGAGAAAAAGGAAAAATCAAAAACGGAAAATAAGATGCCAGAAAGGCAAGCTGGAGTTAATAAAGCAGAAAAGACAGAAAATGAGGAAAATGAAGATGAACATAAAGAAGTTAAGGAAAATGATAAGGCAGATAAGGGAATTTCCACGGAAAGAGGGCAGTTAGAAGTGGATAAGGATAGTAAAAATGATGCTAAACAAGAAATATGTAAAACAGAGTTGTTTAACGAAAAGCTACCTTTCCCGCCGCCCATTATATTTCAAGCTATAAGCTCCAATTTTCCTGACAAAGGAACACCACAAGAATTAAAAGAAAAGTTAGTAATGTTGAATGAACTTTGCAGAATATTTTAAATTCTTTTGTTAAACGTAACACTTAGATATATAGAATTAACTGAGCATCAAGACCCTGAGCGTCCCCAAGAATGTACGCCTAACATTGATGGTGAAAAAGCTGAAAGTGTGTCGCGTGAACGCACTTTGCATTCATTTCACACGCTTTTCTGTCGGCGTTGCTTTAAATATGACTGCTTCTTACATCGTAAGTATATCAAAAATATCTAAAATTAATATTATTTGGTTATCTATATATTAAATACTTTTTTTTTTTTTTTATAATTTTTGGTTTAAATTTGTTTATGCTAAAATAACGTATTATTGTAAAAAAAAAATGCCAATTTGATATTTAGGCCATCCAACTCACGGTGAGTTGTAGCTGTTGTTTTTCTTTATATTTTATAATCATGCGAAAACCAGTGAATGTTGCTACATTAAAACCTTTCATTTCAATTGATGTTTTCATCTCGACAAGCCACAACAATCACCATAACACTAGGCATTCTTTGGAAAGATCAGCCTGAAGTATTTGTAACCATTATTCATATTTGATTTTTCTACATATCCACCACCGGAAAATAAAGATTCTAAAGGTTCCAGTAAAGCATTAGCTTATTTAAACATTTTGTTTTTTCTGTCTGTATATACCAGATTCTCAAAGGGCATAAATTTATGTAGAGGATTGCAGTTCTATCCATATAAATTTTCAAAATAAGATATTACTTGGGAAGTAGTTGAAAAGCTGGGTCACAACATGTCGGTATACCGAATTTCATTAAAATATCTCAAATATTGAGACGTTTAGGTTGAACACAAGACAGCAAGACGGATAAGCGGACAAGCAAGCTTATATCAATTGAGAAAATGTTTCCAAATCAGAAAGTTTAAGAAATGGTAGCTCCATCGCAAGACCTTCTTTGTACCATAAATCGTGCAGAATATAAAAAAAGGAAATTGTAATATGTTTATCAAAATGATAAAAAAATTATGTAGATGTAGCTGAAATAATTTAATAATTTCAGAGTGAAAATTACGCCAAACGATTGTAAGGTGATGGATATCATAAGATTCGTCAAACGACGAATGTAGCTTAATTGTTTTATTTTATAATTTCCATAAGTGCTTTCCATTATTAATTTTTCTATAATTTTCCAAATTTCATATACATAAAAAAAAAAAAAAAAAAAAAAAAAACTAAAATATCTTGGTTAATTACCTCTATAAATAAATAAATTGGCATCAAAACAATTTCTTTTGCTTGGCATTATTGAACATTTTGTGAGATTTAATATATATATATATATATATATATTTTTTTTTTTTTTGTTTGTTTTTAAACATTCATTAATATCAAAAATCAAATAAAATCGATGTTAACAAAATTCCAAAACGTTTTTCTTTTTTATTTTTTCTTTTTTTTTAATTTTATTTTATACCAAATAATCATATCGTCATAACATTTTGTTTTATTGCAAATATTTTGTACATTTATTTAATGAAATACTAATTTTACTTACCTATATATTAGGCTTGCAAGTTGGTCACGCTGGTCCTAACTTACAAAAACGTCGTTTTCCAGAATTGAAGCCATTTACCGAACCTTGCAGTAATAATTGTTATATGCTTTTGGTAGGTGAAACGTTATTTTTCGCATTACAAACAAAAATTGTACGATTTTTATCTTTACAGGATGGTATGAAAGAAAAATTGGCAGCAGATAATAAAACACCACCGATAGATTCGTGCAACGAGGCCAGTTCAGAGGATAGTAATGACAGTAATAGCCAATTTAGCAACAAAGAATTCAATCATGAACAAACTAAGGAAAATGTTACGGTCACCAGTGCAGAGTCAGCGGAAATTAATTCCATAATGGGTAAGCAACGCGAAGCACATTTAAATTAAGAATAAGAATGCATAGAAGCTGTGGTTGTTGTCGTTCAGCTATTATTTCCTAACAAACAAATGTGAAAAAGTAGCGAAAATGTGTTTCGTCACAAACGTAACCAAAAGCAAGCTTCGCATCACAAACATACATGCACGTGTGGAGTGTATTTACGAATATTGAATGTTAAGTTGAATACCGTAGGTAGGCTCTTCCATAAGTAAAGAGTAACGTAGCAAAATTCATCAGGGAACAAGATAATTTAGATTTGAAGACGTACTCTTTGAATGGACGAATAAATGGATAAAAGAAGATGATAAAATCGATCCTGTTAGCGAGATTTAGCAAAAATGTTTTACAAGTCAACGAATACAAAACCTGTCTCTGAATGATTCGTGGTACTAGGCTTAAATGTTTCGTAGTCACTGCGAATGGTTTGAAAGACTATTAGAGCTCAGTAATTTTCAGATTACATAACAACCAAGTGATTTTGACCATTTTTCTTTTTGTGACGGTTTTGATTAACTGGCAATTATTTATGTTAACGTAACTTTTGTAAAATTATGTGCATCATGAAAAGCCATATTTTGATCATATTTTGGATTATACGAGTTTAAAGGAGAAATGTTTATCCTTCTGCTTTTAGTTGAACAAGTCGAAAGCTTACGATTTTCTTTGAAAAGAAAGCACGCAGTTTGTCTTCAAAACAAAAAATGTTCAAAAACGTGTAAATTGCTAGCAGATAGTTAAAGAAAGTAATTGATAATAATATATAGCTCGGGGCCACGAGCTTTTTGCGCATATGACTAAATCGTACTTGTAAGTTTTTCAGCAAATATTAAAACTCTTTTACTTTCTTTTCATGATTTCATTTCCAATATTAGCCGGCATGATGAATACTACTAATGCAAAATGTGATTGGACCGGAGCAGATCAGTCTTTGTTTCGTACTTTGCATAAAGTGTTTTTAAAAAATTATTGCGCCATTGCTCAAACTATGCTAACTAAAACGTGCCAACAGGTTTGTTCAAGTTGACGTGAAACCAATCAAACAACAAATCATTTTATTGAATCTCTTTCTCTTAGGTTTATGAATTTGCTCAAAAAGAAGCTGCCGAATTTAGTATTGAAGAGCTACGTCAAGATTACACACCACCACGTAAGAAGAAAAAAAAGCAACGGTTATGGTCTTTGCACTGTCGTAAGATTCAATTGAAAAAAGACTCCTCCTCGAATCATGTGTACAATTATACGCCCTGTGATCATCAGGGGCCGTGTGATATGAATTGTTCGTGCATTCAAACGCAAAATTTCTGTGAGAAATTTTGTAACTGCAGCAGCGATTGTCAGAATCGTTTCCCAGGTTGCCGTTGCAAGGCTCAGTGTAATACGAAACAATGCCCCTGCTATCTGGCCGTGCGTGAATGTGATCCAGATTTGTGTCAGGCATGTGGTGCTGATCAATTTAAATTGACGAAAATCACTTGTAAAAATGTTTGCGTGCAAAGAGGTCTACGTGAGTGAACTTTAATCGAATTGCAGAGAATTTAAAAATCTTTTTCCTTCTCTTTCTCTGTTATGATTGAATTTCAGATAAACATTTGTTAATGGCGCCTTCGGATGTGGCCGGTTGGGGTATATTTTTAAAGGAAGGCGCTCAAAAGAACGAATTCATATCTGAATATTGCGGTGAGATTATATCGCAAGATGAGGCTGATCGTCGTGGCAAAGTTTACGACAAGTATATGTGTTCATTTTTATTCAATTTGAATAACGACTTTGTGGTGGATGCGACACGCAAAGGCAATAAAATACGATTCGCCAATCATTCCATTAATCCTAATTGCTATGCCAAAGTTATGATGGTTACTGGCGATCATCGCATCGGGATATTTGCCAAACGCGCTATACAACCTGGCGAAGAACTGTTTTTCGATTACAGATATGGGCCCACCGAGCAATTGAAATTTGTTGGCATAGAACGCGAAATGGAAATTGTTTAATTTTTATTAAATTGTTCACTCTTATACAGTTTGTTTCTCATTTTGAACGTGAAATAGAAATTATTGAATTTTTATTTAGTGCTTGTTTCTATACACTCTTGGCTACATTTGCTATTATAGGCTTAGGACGAGATTTGAATATTAACTTTTTCGTGCACACTGCTCTCACTGTGTATTCAGTTCGTTGTTTAGATTTATTCTCCAAAGCTACTGTATTGTCTAGCAAAGTACGTTCTACTGTATCATTTAATGCGCTTATATTGATGTCCTGAGACTGAGTTAGCAAATGTTGACCATCATTAGTTATAGATTTCTCCAGTACCGCAAATGGTTTATCCAATTTTTGTTCTCTACCTTGTAAGATATGGTGACCAATTATAAGAATCTGGATTATTAAAAAAAAAAAAAATTTTTTAATTTTCTTTTATTTAACAAAATATTTAGTTTGTTTAAATCATCATACCGGTTGACCATATTTATTGTAGTGAAGATCGCCTATGTATTGATTGTGCACATCCTCATTGGAGCGTACTTTTAAATCCCCTTGCAATTCAATAATAGCCCATTCTTTCAAGGCACCGTTAGAAGGCCTAATAAGAGAAAGAATGTTAAATAAAATTTTGGAACGTTTTTAGACATAATTGCTCGCACTGTCCTATTAATAATAATACCTAAACCTATTCAGGCAAATTCTTATACTGTAAGAAAAAAGTTTTGAAAAACTGGCGCTATAAGTCATATATGCACCGACTATGAAAGTGCTTCAGCAACTGTAAAGGAAATTCCCCTAGCCTTTCACAAAAGCTATCAATCTATTAAGAAAACGATTTTATATTAGTCCCTAATTTTGCTTTATATCGAGTGATGATTAACTTACAGTATTTTAAGCATTTTTTCCCCACACGTTCATAGATATTTTACAAAAAGTCTTTGAAAGCTACATTTATCTTGGAATGAATCCTTGTTGCGATTGATCTCAACTAAATTGTTGTTAATTGAGTGCATGCCTGTATGCTAATGGATTTTTAATGGGCCTAACAAATGTTCGAGACCACCTTTAAATTAGCATTCGTCATAGATTACATAACGAAATTCCTGGTATTGCTAAGTTTCATCCAATACGAATGCATTTATAACTAACTGTAAGAAGAATGTAAATAAGGCAAAGTTTCCCTTCTTCATCTCAATTTTTGGAGACATCAACTCGATTTAGAATCGTACAAGTACACGTTTTATAAAAAAAAATTTTTAAATTCTTTTTTATTCAATTCAACCGTTGCAATAACAAAAAAGGTAAATTTAAACTCCTCTAAATTTCTTAAACAAGGGATGAATATTTCCGACATGCTTGCGGCGTTGTTCATAATAAATGGCATCGTCGCCGCCCGACATGGAACTTAGGCCGCCGGCTCTCTTTGTGGCTGCTGAGACATTTGGACGGTAACCTGGTTCACCGGGCACTTTTTCATCTTCGCAATCCAAATCTGAAGCGGACAATACTTGTTGCAATAATTGCGATTGTTCTTCACGATTTTTATAAAACAAATCCGGGTCGTTATTCATATCATTAAGATGTGTAATCACTTTGTAACAATAGCCTTGATTTACCAGGAAGCGTTGACGTTTACGCGAATAACTCATTTCCATAGTGTCCTGAGAAACGAGAGTATAAAAGAAAGCGTTATATTCTTCAGCTATTGCTCCCTTCTTCGCACGCAAAATACGTCCTAAACGTTGGGCCTCTTGACGTCGTGATCCGCCATGGGAGGAAATTTGTATCAAAACGTTAGCTTCAGGTAAATCGAAACTAGTATCTGCCACCTTCGATACAAAAATTGTGTTCACTTTTTGATTGAATTTGAAATTTTGCAAAATTTGTATGCGTTCATTCTGAGATGTCGGACCATAGATGAAAGGCTTATTCATTTTGATAGCATAGTGCTTTAAGGCGAATACATTATCTGAGAAAACTATAGTTTTATCACCTCTTTGCTCGTGATATTTAATGAGGAACTGACAACTGCGGAATTTTGAAGGATTCATTACATAAAGTAACATCTTTTTAGACGTTTTGGCTGTTAGATATTCGCGATAAAATTCGGGAGACATAGGACACCAGACCTCGGCACACTGAACTCTTGCAATATAACCTCTCTTCTGCAATTCTAACCAATTGGCTTCGTACAGTTTAGGACCAATTAAGAAATTTAAATCCGCTATTTTGTCATCTTCGCGTAGAAGGGTGGCCGTTAAACCCAGCTTGCAATGAGATTGCACAATGGTTAAAACACGACGAAACATTTTAGCAGGTATGGTATGAACTTCATCCAGAACCATTATACCCCATTCTTGCTGTTGCAGCCAACGCATTGTTTGCTCTGCTTCGTAGGAACGTTTTTGTGTATGTGTTATCATAGAATAGGTAGTAACCAGAATTCCACAGCCCATCGGCTTATCTTTAGCTTCTGAAGTGAAACGACAAATCATACTATCATCAGCAGTAGACCACATTTTAAATTGTTGCTTCCATTGCTCGACGGAGACACCGCTGTTACACAAAACTAAAGCACGTTTCCGCACAGTACAGCAGGCTGTCACACCCACCAAGGATTTACCTGAATACATTGAAAAGAATTAATTTTTTTTTTGTTTCGAAAGTTTTATGGTTTTACAAACCGGCACCACATGGCAATACAATAACACCAGATCTTGCGCGTCCATTACCAAACATTTTACGTAAACTCTTTTCTTGGTACGGGCGTAAAACAGCCGCCGGCTTAAGATCAATATTTATGTCAGGATTATGCGTATCATTGCGAAAATCATACTCTGCTAAGAGCGGATGTTCAATTTCAATGCAACGTTTTTGTATAACCTCAATCTTCTCTTGATTAACTTCAAATGATACTGTCTTTAAAATTGCCTCATCGTCATCTTCTTCTTCATTATCGATCTTATCATAGAAATTTGCAATATCTTCAGGTACAGTTGCATTCCCATCTTGGTTAGTAGCGGCCGTTGGAGCGTCGTTTTTGTCATCAGTTGACTTGTCGCTGCCTGGTGGTAATTTTGTTCCAAATTGTGTTATGCCTTTGCCTTCTAATGTTCCTTCAATGAAATTATCGCCCTCTTCTCGTTTCAAACGGCACTGCTGTATAACTGGATCTCTAAGAAGTTTCTGCAATATCTCTGGATAAGGTGATTCAATGAAGTATCTATTATATTTCAATACCAATTTTACTTTCCCGTATGACAAAGTGCATAATTTAATAAATTCTAAAATGCCTTCTGGCACGGTAGTTTTACTCAATCGTCTTAGATATTCTATGATATCATGCGTTTGTAAACCTACTGATACCGCGGCGTATAAACTGTATGCTGTTAATTTGTATTCGTGAATATGCTCGGGCCGGCAAACCGGTTCCGATATAGCAATTAACAAATCATGAGCATGTTTATATATTGGTGAAAAGGACTCCAAGAAAATGTGACCATTTGGCGCAACCCAAAGCGGTCGATTGTAATGATCCGTTTTCAATTCCATTTGCGAACGATAGTCCTTGGCACCATATTCATCGGTCATGATGCCGTCATCGTTACTTTCAGCATTCTTTGAGGCTGCTGCTGGGACACCGTCCGATTCGCCAACGTCCAGAGAATCATTGTCATCCGCCAATTGCGTGAATGCTTCATCTTCACCACGACGCTTTTTGCCTTCATTATAATTGAAATAACCATAATTAAGATGTTTATTACGTTGTTTATCGCTATTTCACTACTTACTAAATTTATCACCAGGAAATTTCTCTTTTTTGGATTTCTTAGGTGGACCCATTATATTTTTGAGTTAATTTTTTCTTGGTTGTTGGGTTAAGATGGACGAAGCCAATAAACTTGTGGCTTATATGTCCAGATAATAAACAGTAATTATTATAAGCAAGAAATGTATACAAAACACAACAACAACAAAAAATACGGCCGTGATAGCTAAAGCCAATTTTTCCTTTTGTTTTTTTTTGTTTAACAAAATTTCACCGTTATGCATATGCTGCTCATGCTACTCAAGGCGAGTGTAAAGCAAAACTAAAAGAACCGCAAACGACGGCGAATTATTCTCAATTGTAAACAAATTCACACGGGCTCATTGAATTACTCTCAGATGCAGGCAATTTGGGACGGGCTCTTTGAATTACTCTCAGATATGTTAAGTGTAATTATGGATTGTTGAGTTGTTGAAAATGTAGTAAAAAAAGTGTTGCAAACTTTAGCTGAAAACAAAAAGGGAATGTTATAGAGATAAACTATGTTTGAACAAGAAAAATTTATTTTATATAATTATATAAAAATAAAATATATTTTATTTAATTTTCTTTTGTTTTTTTATGTTGAATCATATTTTATGTCTATAACATTCCTCTTTTGTCCTTCTTTTTATATTATTTTTGGGTTCTATTTGACCAGCGATTTGTAAACTCGATTTACCAAGTATGACAGCTGTTTACTGATCGAAAAGTTTCATTCTGATATCAGTCAAGAAGTATAAAAGTTCAACTTTACTTTCTCCGATTTATATTTAATTTTAGATTTTGTCTTCTTCTTCATATTCTACTCACTATTTGCAATATTTCAACAACATTAAATTCAAACAGAAATCGCATATGTTTTTATTGAGATTATATTTATGATTTTATTGCATATCCCAAGATAGTTGCTTATTCTCTAAAGGTGTACAATACATGCAAAATTCTTGATAATTGTATACGCTCATTTTCTAAAGGCGTACAATACATGCAAAATTCTTGATAATTGTATACGCTAATTCTCTAAAGGCATTAATTATTCTATTTCAACATTAAAGTGGACAAATGCATATCGTCAGATCTATTGAAAAAATAGAGACTAACAGTTCTCATTATCTATATTTGGTAATACACAAAATTTTTGACATTTTTTTTTATTCATAGTTCTATTTAAAAAATTGTTATAATACAAAAATAGAGTACGAATGCTTGTAGCAAATTTTTCAGGTGAGCTTTATTTCGTGCTTAAAGAATTATTCGAACTATTCTACTAAGAATGCATGAAACACCATTCGGTTCGATTTCATTAGTTAAACGCATTATTCCTTAACGATGCAGGCGAGTTTTCGCGCGAATTTTCTATCTATAATTAAATACTAAAAAAAAGGCAAATGTACTTACGTTTGAATTAAAATCGGCATTTTTGCGAAAGTAATGGAAGTCTACAATTTATTAATCCACGTTTTTAATAAAAAATTAATTGCTGCTTATAAGTTTAGCGTTTTCTTTCTCGAGTGTTAGTAACTAGTTGACAGAGAGCAGCTGATTATGAAACGATAATGTTGCCATTGTTTAGGACCAAGTTTTTATTTGTAAGCAATTGGTTGCATGCGTTTTTAAATTTTTAGCAAAATTTTCTTTATAAATTGGCAAATATGTTGAGTACACGGTTATTAACTAAATTTAGTGGTTTCAAGAGCCTTCTAAAACCTGCAGTAAGTGCCCATAAATTCTCCTTCCGATATATTGGTGAAGAAATATTTTGTTTGCTTCTTATATAAACATTTATAGGGCAATCTAAAAAAAAATATTGCTTCTGTTACCTCTAATAACTATACGCAAAAAGAAGTTGTATATTTTTTAAAGATATTTTCAGTTGATAGAATAGAGAAAAGCCTAAATATATCAATGCCATATACGTCGATTGAACGCAATTTTAAGCCTTTAACGACTTTACACTTAGAACGATGCCAGTATTGCTCAACAACTGCCGGTGTCGCTAGCAAAACCGATGAAGCTGACGGTAATATATTGAAAAGAGTATTAAATAAAGTTGGATTAGGGCCGAATCTCAAGACAGTAAGTGAAAAATTTCTGCATTAATATTTAAAAGGCTTTAGATGTATGTTTATTGCTTCTAGCGTTTAAGAGTCTCTAGCCACTTGTTGTATGAGAGTGTCGCCGATAAAACAAACTATTTAACTTTCTTTCAAGAATTTGACATGCCAAATACTTTTAATTCATGGTTCTTAGTTACTGAATTACACGTGTGGATGTTGCTACTGAGAGCTATGGCCGAAGGCTCAGAATCTGGGGAAGACGGGCGTTTCATGCGTAACTGTATAGTTGAGGCCATGTGGGGAGATGTAAATACCAGAGCAAAAAAATTAGGGGTAACATTTATTTAATAAAAAATTCTACGGAAATTAATTAACTTTATTTTTACTAAGTCTATTAGCTCTTCACGTATTCGCCAACAAATTGAAGAACTTTCGGAGCAATTTCAAGCCGCTTTAATTGCTTACGATGAAGGCATTATGTCCGAGGATCGTGTTTTGGCAACAGCTCTATGGCGTCGTTTCTTTGTCATGAACTGTGAAGATTATAATAAAATAGAACGCCTGGTCAAATACGTAAGAATTCAAGTGCTTATGTTAGATCAGCTGTCACGTGAAGAGTTTCTTATAAAGCCAAAAGTACACTGGAAGAGCTTGGATCAAATATAATTTAACATAAACTAAATCTTTCTAATGTTGTTTTTACTAATGTTAAACTAATAATAAATATTGGAAATTAGACAAATACAACATACCGTTGTGTTTCTGTATGTGCTACAGGCATAAATCATCAATATCTTCTTGATTTAAAATTCTGAGTTGACATTTGCACAGAAACGCAGTTATTCTCCTTTCTACCCGATTACGGGTTTCTCCTTCAAAACCGAATAATAGAGCTTCTATTTTTTTCAAGTTACTTGGAGATATTGTCGAAGAATCAGGTCCCATAACTTCCTCCGCTAGTTCCTCGATTAAACCATAATCAGAATCTTCGGTATATGACTCGTTTACTGGGTTATCTTCTCCTCCGATATGTTGCGTTATATTTTGAACACTATGGTCTTCGATGTCTGAAATTTTATCCATGTTCTCGCCGCTGTCGTCAGCTTTCCAATCATCCTGCATCTGTTGCAGTTGTTCTTGCTTACGTTTACTTAAGCGTGGCTTTTTTGGTTTATTATATTGTAAGGTATTCTCCAAAAAACGCAAGCGTTCTAAATAAGGCCAACTAGATCCACGTATTTTACCACTTTTGGGGCAAAGCTCAGTACAATGCCGTAATTCTTTTTGGAATTGCCCTCTTAGATTATTCCAACGTGATAAACAGAACTTTACTTTTTTTTAAGGAAGCATATATAAAGCATTTACGTTTTGGCCCTGGAAATGATTACTTACCCTCTTGACCCATTTCTAAGGCAATCTGTTGCCATATATTATTTTTTGTTTTCATGATTTCAAACGAAGACATACCCGGTATTTGGCGCATATATAGAACAGGATTCGGCTGCACCAGATCAATTAATTTAAAATCGAAAGGACGGTTCTTCTTATGACTGGTTTTAGTCATTTCTTTTATTTTGAATTTGCTTATTACTTAATTTTAACAATACTAGTAAACTTCCATTCCTATCGAAAACAAAACAACTTATGATTTTTATAATAGCGATGGCAAACTATAAAAAATCGGAATCATTTGCTGTGAAGAGTAGAAATAATGAGAATTAATAAAGTTGCCATTTCGCTTTATAAAAATCGAAGGGAAAGAGAATTTCAAATTTCTATCTACATTTTTGCGATTTTTAAAGTATCGAACATATTAGTTGGCTAGAATTATGTAAACCTTTTCTCGAAAAGAGGCAATCAAATAAAATTTATTAGGTATTAAAGTAAGTACAACCGTGCAAGCATTCTAATTGGGACGATTCCTCCTGCTATCTATATGATATATTTCGCCTTTAAAATGACAATTTATTCAAAGGTTTTTGGGTTTTCTTCGAACTATCACACAATCGCTGGAACGCAACATATCATATGGATCTTTGTTAGTTTCTGGTTTCTGGTTTTTGGTGTTCCGGCATTTAATCATAAACTTGGTGTCTGCAACATCGTAACATATATGGACTTCATTCTTGAGCAGGTTACTAAATATTTTTATGATTATGAACAGTATCATGCAATGACATAAAGAGAATATTTTAAAAAATTGAAAGAACGTAACGCAAAAAGTATAAAAAATCAAAAAAAAAATTTGTATTTTATACAAATTTGTGAACAATACCCAAGGATAGGCATGTAAAAGAAATTATTTTTACTAATCCATTATCAATTGATTAACTTCATTAGATTGCAGCGTAAAAGATCGTGGGGTAATCAGGTAGCTATAAGTTAAAGTTCGCTTTTGTGTTTTGCAAACGCCTGCATACAATACATGAAAGCTAAATTTCTGTTATTTGATTATATTCCAGGTCCTTTTTTACTTAAGTTGATGATTTTCATAAACTAACAACCCTGGTTTAGAGCTGAATTGACAGTTTGGAAGTCTTACTAGCTCTTTTGCTTAGGGATACGGAATGTAAGACAAAATAACAAGAACGCTGAGCACAATTATTAAATTTACGATCATTGACAGATGAGAATGTCAAAATATGAATGTAAACTAAAAGTGGTAATCATGTAAGCAAGCAAGGCAATGAATAGTGAAAAGTTTGAATTGCGATAAATTTCTTGGGATCACATCCAATGAATTTAGCTTCTTCGCTAGATCATTCCACAATCGACATAGATTTTGGCACTTAAGGTCGTTCATATTTTCAAACCACTCACAGCGCGATCATGTAAGGGAAAGTACTTTTTTACGGACCGCACTTCTTCAGTGGCTTCTTCCATGCATTACGTTTTGGTGTTGCTTCTTAAATATTCCACATGAATCGCTTATATAGAATTTCCGTTACCGAAGTCTATTCTTTGCATTTTGTGCCGTAAACTTTGAATTGAACACTTTACTGCTCATATTTTCAAGAAATTCCCACAAACCCTTAGCAATTGAATGTAAATTTCTTACAAATCGACTATGATTACGTCAACATTCAAATAAATTCATTATTTTATAGTCTAATAAAAATTCTACATAAATTTCTATTCATTTCATTTTGAATTATTGTTATCGTTTACCATATGTAGCTTGCGTATACAAAACAAATAAACGTCAAAACGACTTTTATTTTTTACGTCTCTCTCAGTTTATTGATGCATTGTAATGGAAAATTGCAGGGGAAATATTGGAAAGCTGGCGACGATGGTACTCGATTAACCGTTTGGCGACGATCAATTGTCTCCTAATGATATGGCGATAATCGCCAACTTGTATGATTATCCACTATATTCAAGCGGACAACACAACGTTTTCATGATGCCTTGTGTACGGCTCACGCCGTATAAAAAAAATTGGTTGCGTCTGAAATGTAGACGATCACGTAGCTTCGTTGCTGCGTTGTGCAGGATCGCAAATTTTTGACAAACTTTTAAAATGTCTGCTTGCGTTGTATTTTGAAGCGATCATTTTCATTTTCTTTAAAAGAACAAATATATTTTTTTCGCTTAATTATTCATTTTTTATTTATTTATTATTGCTTCAAGAATCATTTTTCAAAGACATTTTTCACTGAATTAGTTTTGCATTTCATTAACATTCACGTAAAGTTTTGTAATGTTATGTATGTGTAAGATTTTGCTTCAGCAAACATTCTGTTTCAACTTCACTATTTCAGAATTGTTTGGCACCTCTGTGATCGACTGCACAATGCCTGTTCTTTACATAAAAACACGTGTGCCTTCAAGATTTTGTCGAAAACGTAATGTGCTTTTCATAAAATTTGTAAAATAAAAAGTGGATTAATAATTATTAGAAATGGCTGATCAAGTATTCCATCGGCCAGGGCCGTTGAAACAAACCAATAAGCCCCATAAAACGGGAAGACATCGTTCCAAAGGGGCAATTGATAACGCTATGAAAGGTAAAATCCTTTGAAAATTATTTGAAAATTATAACTTTAATAACTATTGTTATTGATCAGGTAAAATGGCTAAAATGACCATATCGCATAAGCACAGGCAAATACAGCGAAGGGAACAAAGGCGTAATCAAATGAATCAGGTAAGTTTTCGTTTAACCGCAAAAAAGCGAAACCTTATATTTTTGCTTCCAGTTACGCAAAGCCAAACGTGAGGAAGCTTTAGCGACCAAACGTCAATTAGGTGGACAAAACACAGCGCCTTTTTTAGTCTGCATATTGCCTATGCATTTACAAATTGATCCCAAATCAGCTTTAACTATTTTGGGGAATTGTGATGAGGAGGCGTTGGTGGAACGTACGTCTACTGGTGTTACATATGTAAATATTCCGCGTTTCAAGCAACGTTTTGCATTTATTATACCTCCCGTGGGAAGAGGCAATGAGCTAGCTATATTAGATTATTTGAAAGTGTGTGACACTACGTTAATGTTGACTTCGGCAGCAATGGGGGAAAATGAAGTCTTCGACAAATGGGGACACCGTATGTACAATATGATGACCGCTCAAGGTATACCCACACCCATAGCAGCATTAATGGATCTGGAATCGTTAAACCCGAAAGCGCGTATTCCAGCTAAAGCAGCTGCGCAAAAATTTATGTCAAAATTACTGCCTAAGGAGAAAATTTTACAATTGGATACTAACGCCGATGGTAAGGGAAGTTTGTAATTATAATAATTTATCTCACAATTTATTTACTAGGCTTGAATATTTTACGTCGTATTGGTGGACAGAAAAAAAATGTCCTTCATAATCGTAACAATCGCTCACACCTTCTTGGAGATCATGTGGAATTCATAGACAATACAGAATCTTCAGACCAAACGGCTGAGTTAAGAATTACCGGATTCTTACGGGGTCTACCTTTGGACGTTAATGGCTTAGTACATATTGTCGGGTTAGGTGATTTTCAAATGTCAAAAATCGTAGCTACTACGGATCCGTACAAATTTGAAAAACGCCTTGAAAAACATGTCTGCATCGTTGCCAAAGCTGACGCTTCGAAGCAAACTTCTCTGCAAAGTGAGAATATACCTGATCCCATGGATTGCGAGCAAACTTGGCCTACGGAAGAAGAAATTCAAGAAGCCGAAAAAGAAGTCAAAAAAATGAAATTAATTAAACGGGTGCCTAAAGGTTACAGTGAGTATCAAACAGCTTGGATTCCCGATGTCGAATCTATAGAAGAGGAGAGAGAATGTTCTGACGATGATGTAGACGGAGAAATTGAGAGAATGGATAGTGAAGATGACGAATTTATGTCTTGTGATGATAACTCATTCGGCGACGAATCCGAAAAGCCAGATTCGAATACTGAAGAATACGTTGATTCCACTTCTGTATCAGATGCAGCCGTAAACGATGAGAAATATGATTTAGAAATGGATTTTCAAGAAGAACGTGAAACTTTGAATAAAATTAAGGGGGCTAGAGCTGATCATTTGTGGCCGGATGAAATTGACACGCCGTTGGATATACCAGCTTGTACAAGATTTCAGAAATTCAGGGGCTTGGAATCGTTTAGGTTTGAAAAGAAGAAACTATTACTAGCCGTATTACCAGATGTTCATTTAATTTCTTATTCTAGAACTTCGCCGTGGGATCCGAAAGAAAATTTGCCGAGTGACTATGCTCGCATTTATCAATTTCAGAACTTTGATCGTACAAAAAGGCGTATTTTATCGGAAAGTAAAGAAATTAGTGGAGCTATGGTGAGACTGTCTAAGTACTGATTTCTTTAGGGTTAACTATCTATCTTTCTAGCCTGGGTGGTACATTACTATTTACATACGTAATGTTTGCAAGGACAAATGGGAATTATTTAAATCCGGCCGACAGACGGACAATGTAGTTGTGTACGGCCTTTTGCAACATGAACACAAAATGTCGGTTATGAATGTCGTGTTAAAACGTACACCTGACTCGGAAGTCCCCATCAAATCCAAAGAAAGATTAATAATGCAATGCGGCTATCGTAGATTTATTGTTAATCCAATCTTTAGTCAACATACTAATGGGAACAAACATAAGGTAGGCCATCTATCAATCTTCATTTCTTGGAAAATTTGTAACAACAAAATCTGAGTTTAGTTTGAGCGGTATTTCCGACCTCATACAACAATATGTGCCACATTTTACGCCCCCATACAATTTCCTCCAGCACCGATACTGGCTTTCAAAATTAATCCCGATTCAACACTGGCACTCGTGGCGCGTGGTTGTTTATTGTCTTGTAATCCGGATCGCATTATCTTGAAGCGCGTAGCTTTAAGTGGAGTTCCTATGCGTATTAATCGTAAATCAGCTACCATAAGGTATATGTTCTTCAACAAAGAGGATGTAGAATACTTTAAACCAGTTAAACTACGAACAAAATGTGGTCGTGTAGGTCACATTAAAGAATCCTTGGGTACACATGGTCATATGAAATGCGTATTCGACGGGCAATTGCGCTCATATGACACAGTTTTTATGTATCTTTATAAAAGAGTTTATCCTAAATGGACCTATAATGATTGTCTAATAAGTTGCGAAGAGGATAAAAACGAGCAAATGCAGAAATGATTAATTTACTTTAAATTAATGTTTAAAACAGCAACAAATTTTTATTCTTATTAATACTGAAGAGAATTTAAGAAGACGTTAAAACTTTTATAGCTTCCACTTGCTTATGAACGGATTAACGATACTAGCTATTTTCTCAGGTTCATTTAAATGCGCATGATGCGTACCATCCACTTCGCTGTATTGGAAAGTGGGTTCCTGCTTAAGGACATCTAGGACTTCTTTGTGAAGCTTTTTATCCCAGTAAGCACTTTGCGAAGATTTGATGAATAAGTAAGGGCATTTGATACGTTTAGCTAATTCTACATAAATCGATTCAGGAAAGCTAAGGAAAATCCAATTCTTTATGCGATTATCTCTTGAGAAGTAGTATTTGTTAGAATCTCGCTGAGATCGTTTCGTATTACGTTCTAATATAAATTTGCAAGCATCCAAATTTATGGAATTGCGCACACCTTCATGAAAACGTTGCACTAACTGGTCCCACTCGTAAACAGGTGGTTCACTTTTGTCACGCAAATATTTGGCTATTTTCAAACTATGTTCAAAACGTTCTACGGTTTCATGAATTATCTTTGCGGCTGGAGATGTAAAGGGCGTCAAGCAATCTAAGCCAATCATTAGATCAATTTTGTTTGGAAATAAGCCAGCAAAAACAAACGCGTTTTGGGAGCTCAAAGAATGGCCCAGTAAAGATATTTTATCCCACTTGTACTCCTCCATTAGTAACCTAATTAAAACCAATAAATCAATAGAATGATAAAGTGTACCCTCTGGTAACCATGAAGACAAACCATGACCAGGTATATCTATGGCGAGGAATGGTAAATCCGGGGGCAGGTAAGGAGCCAATGTATCAAAGGTGCCAGCATTATCTTGCCATCCATGTAAGCCCACTAAAGGTTTACGATTTTTACACCCATACCATTTACCAGCTAAGTGACCCCAAGGCATTGGTATCTGAATTTCTTCATGCTAGAATGAAAAATATTAAGTAAAGTTTGCCGTTTTTGCTTTTAAAAGACGTCCTGGAACGAATTTAATTTACATTTCGAACGATGTATTTTGAAGAAATTCTTTCCTTCGTCTTCGCATCTATTGAAGATAGAGTACTCTCCGAGCGTCGTAATGTTTTAAATAGAAATACCGGTGGTAAAATTGGTCGGATTGGTTTATAGCTACACATGATGTGTAAGCTTAAAATATAATGATGAAATTATATAATACAAGTCGTTCACAGAATGCTTCATTTGCCATTTAATGTTAAAATGCTGTCAATTTCAAAAATCGTAAAAAAAAAAAAAATTAAATATATGTGCGCATAACATTCGTGAAATTTTCTGTGAGAGCGTGAGAATAACAAATCGAAATAAATCAACGAGATTGTTGAAAATTTATTTGTGTTTGGTAGAAAGACTTTGCTTATATTTCGAAAAGCGAGCAACTTTAAAGCTACATCGAATTGTGTTTCATGCGCTTCGCAATTTTTAAAATAATAAAGAAATTGAATAATATTAAAAAAATAGAAATCGTACTTGCGCGAAAGAGCATCGTTTTCGGACTTTTTATGGCATTGGAACTGCGACTTCTTGGAAATTGGAAATTTCTAATTTGAATGGTTTTAATTGGAATATGCTCATTCTTTATTAGAAAATAAATATCTGCAACCATCACTTCATAAAGATATGGTAACACTGCTTGACATCTCAATTTCCAGCATGATGTTTGACTGGAATTCTGTTTTCTTGTTAACTGTTAACGATAAGGTTTTTTTTGTGTTATACGTGTTATACTCGAGGAATATAAAGTTTTCGGATGTGTGCGTGACGTTTACAAGAAGAAAAGAAGTGATTTCATTAGTCGCAAAAAATTAAAATTCTCAGTGCATAAAATATTCAAAGTGAAAACAGAAGAACAGAAGAACAAAACGCGTTAAACATTCATTGAAGTCGTTATACGTTTTAATCAAAAAGTATAAATGAAGTTGTATTGTAAAGAACGAAAACAATCGTGGAAAAGCAATGAGCAAATAATCTAGAGAAATGCGAAGTAATTAAAAAGAAAAAAAAAAGCGTTCATATATAAAACGGTTAAGGTAAAAGAGTCATTGCACAAGCGGGCTTACTGACACGCATACGTTAGCATTTAGTGGATTTTAGAAGTTTAGAAATAATAAGACCACAATATGCCGTTATTTGGCAAAAAGGATTCCGGCAAGAAAATGAAATCAAAGGACATAAGAGAACTAAATAAAACAGTACCGATCGAAGATAAATATATACTGCATGATACGCTGGGCACTGGGGCTTTTTCTGAAGTCCGCCTAGCGGTGAGTAGAGAAAATCCGGATCATCATTACGCTGTTAAGATAATCGATAAAAAAGCGCTCAAGGGCAAAGAGGAATCACTCGAGAATGAGATACGTGTACTACGAAGATTTAGTGCGAATCAGCAAATTGACGGTGAATTAGAACCGGGCACCAGACTTACACATCCCAATATAGTACAATTGTACGAGACGTTCGAAGATAAATCAAAGATTTATCTTGTAATGGAATTAGTCACTGGTGGTGAGTTGTTCGATAGAATTGTAGAAAAAGGTTCCTATACGGAAAAGGATGCCTCCGATTTAATTAGGCAAATATTGGAGGCAGTTGCTTATATGCATAAAGAGGGCGTTGTCCATAGAGACCTAAAACCGGAGAATTTACTCTTTTACAGTCCCGACGATGATGCCAAGATTATGATTAGCGATTTTGGTCTATCGAAAACTGAGGATTCAGGCACAATGGCTACAGCATGCGGCACACCAGGCTACGTGGCTCCAGAAGTTTTGGCCCAAAAACCTTATGGCAAAGCTGTCGATGTATGGAGTATAGGCGTTATCTCTTATATTCTATTATGCGGCTATCCTCCATTCTACGATGAAAACGATGCCAATCTTTTCGCACAGATACTTAAGGGCGATTTCGAATTTGATTCACCCTATTGGGATGATATCAGTGAATCAGCCAAAGATTTTATACGTCATTTAATGTGTGTAGATGTTAAAAAACGCTACACCTGTGAACAGGCTTTAGCACATCCTTGGATATCTGGCAATGCTGCCGGCAATAAAAACATACATGCTACGGTTTCAGAGCAACTTAAAAAGAATTTTGCCAAATCGCGTTGGAAACAAGCCTACATTGCGGCCACAGTTATACGGCAAATGCAACGCATGGCATTGAGTAGTAGCAATAGCTCCGGTGAGGGCGGAAGTAAAACTAATCTGTTAAAGGATAGCAAACTGAATGTACCATCGGACAGTAGTCAGCGCAGCGATACGGATGAAAGCATTCATGTCGAGAATATTGAAACGACAAAAACGACAACATCGAATGCTGAGATTAAAAACCAAAGAATCTCATCGCCAACCTCTTGTTTAAATGGTAGTGGTCAAGCAAAATAATCAAATAAATACGTAAATGTTTAAAAAAAAAAAAGAAGAAAACAACAACAACCAGACAACTGCGATACCGCACAGAAACTATATAAAAACTGAATTCAAAACAAGAAATAACAAACACATACACAAAATTCGTTATTTGGAAATTGCACAAGAGTTTTTTTTAGGAAGCAAAGAAATAACAAAAAAAAAAAAAAAGGATAGATTCCTTTATAACATCAAAATCAATACATATAAACCTACTCGAATAAAATAAAATCAACAAATTTTTAATTATTAATGAAAAAAAAAGAAAGAAAGAAAAAACCAGATAAAGGATTTGTAAAAAGAGAGGACAAAGCAAGTAACTAAAGTATAAGAGGATCTTAACTTAATTTCAAATATAGTCTTCAAATTTGCATGGAAGAGTTATACACCTTTACCTCGAAATTAAATTATTTTTGTTTAGATGAATGTCGACGGAAATTAATTGCTCTCGCAATAGAAATCGCATTGCATTTCTTTCACGCGTGTCCCATCAGTCGGATCAGTTTGTGTCTTGAGCTGTGACTAGGTACATAATTGTATTTTTTTGTTTCTCTTTTTTCTCTTCCATCTATTATTTGATTATTTTATAATTTATTTGTTACATTATTATTTCATTTATTGTTGTTATATGAAAACTAAGGCAGATTAAAGTTGAAATTTTCATTAAAATTATATGTACATATGTGTACGTGTGTACGTGTGTTTCTCGAATAAAGTAGTTTTAATTAGTTTCTTTAATTTAATAATTTAATTAATCAAATTATTTAACTTTAATACGCGTATCTCGCTTACTCTTACACTTACTATTGCATGGGATAGTTCGTCATATAGTTCTCTTAGTTTTCCAATTTGATGCGTTAGATATGTTACTCCTTTTCCCAACATTTTCTATACCTAATCTATGCTGTAATAGAAACTGGGCAGTCTAATGCCCTAAATGAATGACTATAATCATTAGGTAAACAAGTAAGAAAATTATGTATAGAGAGTGAATTCTTTTTAAAATTCTTTTATAATTGAAGTACACACACAAACAAGTGGCAACAAATTACTTTTGATCTTTAATTGTTAAGAAGAATTTTTTTATATATATTTTTTTTATTTGAAAGATAATTTGTTTGTATTAGTTAACACTTTGAAGGCAACGAAATCGATTGCTTAAGCCATTGTTTGATTACTATGCAGGCGTACAGAAGGGATTTCCATTCAAATGAAACAAACTATAAAAAGGTGTCCACTTCCCCTATCCCTATAATATTCGCCAAGTTTGCAATGTCTTTATACACACACATTCTTTTGCCAAACAACACTATAATCTTAAAATTTAAAAATTAACTTTTTAATTAGAAATCTTAATAATTGTAAAAAAAAAAAAAATATATATATATATATATATAAAAAAAAACCGAATTATATGTCTTAAAGACAATTTATAAAGAATTGTTTGCAAATTTTGAAAAATGAAAAAAAAAAATCTAGATTTACTGGATTTTAAACTAATAAAACAAATAAAAAAACTTTCTTATTATTGTTAACTATAGAAAGTTGAAGTTATATTAATAATGTCATTCCGTTTGCATCGGAAAAATATATATTAATCATTACACTAATCTGCAATATATTTGTTGAAATGATGTTCATCTGACTTTGTGGAAACAAACATAAAGCCAGAAAGCCAGAAAGCCAGAAAGCATAGCAAACACCGAAAAGTCAAAAGGACGAAATTTCTCAAACAGTTTTTCTCAATTACTTTACTGCAATAAATTATAGGCGTAGTTTTGCTCTATAATATATGTCATCGTTATACTGGGGTCACATTGGGCTGATTGCAAATATATTTTGTAAATTTTACATTTACATATTTATTGGGATGGATGAGATGATACCCAGAAAATATCCTAATAATCATTTCGAGCGTATATAATTTTCTTACTTGAGTTTTTTCTTTTTTCAAATCAGTTAACGGAATAATAAGTAATTGATAGCAATGAAATGTATATGGTGTTCATTAAATTTTTGATATATATATATATATATATATATATATATATATATATATATATATATATATATTTTTATAAATAATATTTTAAAGATGATCTTGAATAAATGAAAAAGAAAGCATGTTGATCGATATGATTTCATTATCATAATTGTTTTCTTAGTTAGGTACAAATCCTAAACTCTGGTTTTATTATATTTAATATAATGAATTTATATATGAAACTAAATATATAAAATATATAAAAAATTTACTTAATAGATATACATATATTTACTTGTATATATATACAAGCTAAGTAAATGGAAAAAAGGAAGATAATTGAAACAAATGTAGGAAGATACATAATTCTTAAAAGCCATGACATTTTCAATATGCATCTGCTTATACTCGATACTCTATCTCTCTCTATCTCTTTTTCTCTCTCTATTCTCTAATATACTATAATATATGTTAAACATTATTCCATACATGGTATATAAGGGAGGAGGTATCCACTTACATTCATATCTATGCATAGATTCTCATATAACGTATGAACTATTAATTAATTAAAGAACAATTATAATAAAATTTATAATAACGTAATAACATTATACATTTACATGTAGAAGCGCAACAACCACATGACATATTGATATATAAAAGTGATTTTAGTCGATCGATGACGTGACTTTGACTGCTTTGTTTTCATTATTATGAATTCAAACAATACCTTTATAGTTACAATTTTTTTTTTTATGTCATATATATATATATATACGTCTTTTTTTCATATATTTTCATTTTTTTTTTTTAACACATAAGTAAAAGTAAATTATTAAAAGTCAACCGTAATAGTTGTAATTAAAATTCATTTATAACCGTCTAACAGTAATGTGATATTATTACATAATTAAAGTTATATTCAGTTGAGTAAAAGCGCTTAAACGAGTTTGCGAAAAACAAACTTAAAATAAAAAAAAAAACTTAATTTTCTTTGGCATTAACACTTTAAGTAACGCTTATTACGACAATGAATTCTTTAAATGATTTTTACACGAAGTATCATTAAGGAGAAATAAATTCATTTTGTCATTGCGCCATTTGCAAGTTGGTCCGCTTAGCGCAGCGCATAAGTTAATAATAATATCAGGTTATCCGAATAAGTAGTCGAGTAAGTAAGAATAGCGATCACCAAGTCTTTGTGCGGGGGTGTTAGTTATAGTGGCTTTCGATTCTTGCTCACCCGCTGAAGGCCAAATTAACCACTTACCGAGTAAGGGCATACACACACAATAAGCTGTGCACGTTTGCCTATCTCTTTCTCTTGCTCTTTCCTCAGTTCTTCCCGACCGTCATCGCATTAGACGAATAGGGGACAAGCCTTGATTGGTTGGTCATGCATAAGCTCAATGAAGTCAACATCTGCATAAATCAGGCTGATCTTCGCATAGATCACTATAGGGCAAACTTAGATATCTTTCGTGATGGCATGAAAGTTAACTAAAAATTCCGCTTGACATGATTTTTTTTTTTTTTTTTTTTTAATCAATTGAAGTAAATATATAAAAGTTTCGTAACTTAATGTCAATATCGAATTTTTTTGTCGGAATAGCTCTGTTGAATATTTGTGTCATCATTGCAGATCGATTTCAAATAAAATTTGCAAAATCATTGAGTAAACATTTTGAAATTTTCAATTCCTTTTGTTTTTTTTTTTTCTTCTTTTTTTTTTGTAGATATAAGCTTCAGTTGTCTAGTAAACTTTTTGTGCGACTGTGAAGTGGTACCGAGCGAAGGGAGAGTTTTATCCATACACGGTCGAATCTAACTCTTAATGTGGTGGTGATCGAGAGAATACACAAGTTTGATTTGTCGTTCGATTGACGTTCATGTCAACCGAAATGTCCCTGGAGCAAAATAGATTGTTCACTTGAAAGAAATGCATATCTGATAAATAGCATGTTAGAGAAAGAATAGGCGGAAGATGACTGCCCCTCTGTTTCGCTCGGAAAAGTGTTTCAATCCATAATAATAAGGTCGGGTAGATAATATAGTCGACAGTCTTATGTTTATGATTGCTTAGACCAATGCCTTGTAACACTGGGCGCACATAATGCAATAAGCAAACAAAACCTTTCCACAACTATCATTATGACGAGCCATGATCGAAATGAGTAAATCTTATAAAAGTTAAGTGCGGTTGTAAGTTATTTTAGATCGGACCAATCAGACGATTTTTAGATGCGTTTTCGGGATGACCAAAGTAAATGCTTGTACCTAATGTTTTTCTTAAATTTCCGACAAATTATCTGCGATAACTTGCAAGCACATCTCACCTACGTGTAAACTTCAACTGTTCAGAAAGGCCTATAAAGATCAAGTTTCAACTTTCTAACTGCATTTTAGCGTTAAATCAATCAAATATTTGAGGCAGCATATAAAATCTCTAAAGATTATGTCTGAGCATTGGAAAGGGGAGGACAATACCTCTCTATACTTTGGATACTTAGCACCTTTATCCTTTTCTGGCGATTTAGTAACTAATTGTAGTTTCCTCTTATAGTGGATGTAAATCGAATTACGTTTCTCCTTAGGCAGCCATTTATGATTTGAGCAACCATCTTGGCCATTGGCATCGTATGGCTAGTTTGTATTCTTTAATGTACTCTTATATGAGGATTCATTAGTTATCTCCGAGTATTCGCATAGTTAGATGAATCCCACTCGGTTTGGGGTTATATTACACTTAGCCAAAAGCAGGCAAAAATGTTATCCCCCAATGGGTAGTAAGATTAGATTCATATGACACTTTTATACCTTAGTAATTTGGGCCTGTTCCGCCTGAGGGATGCGTATAATTCATTATTTCTGTTTAAAGCAGAGTGCGATCAAGTCCGCATGACGCCTGATTAAACGAATTCTGTTGTTCCGAAGCCGGTTCATTGGCACGGTTTTTTAGGTAGGGCGGGTGAAATGAAAAATTTGAACACATTTAAAAAGTTTTCCATTCCTGCTCATCCCGTTCAATACCGTGATTCAAATTTCTTTCGTTTTGGTGAATGCTAAACATTACTCCTTGTAGGTCGAGTATAAAGAATTAATGGTTCATTCACTTGTTGTTAGTGTATTTCTAAGAATTATTCTCGAATGATAAGCTTGGACGTGAACTGGACTAACTGCATATAATATATTACTGTTGAATGCAGTGAAAGTTTTTCATGAGCAATTAAAGCCCGTAAGGAAACTATATTCGGTCGTGACCGAATCTTGTATACCCACCA